CACATGCTTTGGCATAATTTGTACTGGTGATAAGCATCAGTTTTATTTGTGTGGTGGGAGAAAGCTCTGTAATACTTCTGGATATCAAAATAGGGCTGCAATATACTGATCTGCCGAGGGAGATAATTTATGGAATAGACCGAAGGAAGGCAAACGAGCCATGTTACCTGTAGTTGAGTGCTAGTAATGAGGTAGGCAGGTAAAATGGTCATTCATCCAGGCAACTAACTTTAACTTGAGCAAACCTGAGTGAAAAGAACTTCCGCAACGTTTGAAATAGGCCAATTTTGACACTTGGCTTTAGGGCTTTCGAGAATAATAAGAAAAGACATCAAGTGCAGGGATCGGTAACAGTCATTTAGCCCCCAAGTCTATGAGCCCCTAACCATTTAAACCCCAACCAGAAGTCGATAAGCCCCCAACCAGAAATAAAAAAAAAAAACTGTATATTTCTCGTTCTTTAAGTATGGATAAGGGGCTAATCGACTTGTGGTTGGAGGCTAACCGGCTAGGGGCTAAGCAAATGACTGGTAACCAAGTGATCAGGTTTGTTTTATTCCTCTAAGGCAAAAAAGGTGAGTAAGGATGTTAATGTATCAAATTCGGCCTAAAGTGTTCTGAATGTCTTTAATAGCACTTGTCTCAAATGACAACTCTTAATGCAAGAGAGGAGCATTATCCCTTTGAAAAACTGATTGAGAGGTGTAATAAAAAATTAGTGCCAGGGAAAGGGCTACAGGAAGAGCAGCAAAATGAGGTGGTAAAGTCAAACTTCCTGCACACTCTCCATCTCAACGATTTGATTGGACCCATTATTTAAGCCGTTAAGTCAAGAATATCAAAACAAAAGTCTAAGGATGATTATGAAGAAACATAAACAATCAACGACACAACTATTGTGTTGTAACAAAAGAGATGTCGATGAATTCTCAATTCTGTCGAGGGACCTATCCAGTATTCACTTTCATAAATAACGCCAGATGCTTTGCCTAAAACTGAAACAGACCTCTTGTAGTAACGTAACAGAAAAGCGCCGTACCCACTGCACTCACTATGAAACCTGCTTTAACCCTGTCAGTTAAGTGCAAACAAAAAAGGGTCACGAAGCTGTTAAGCTGTTCAAAAAAAGCAACCCTTACCATCAGCGAGTCCGGTTTACCACGTTGATAGGACACCGCTACAAAAAAAGCTCGAATGAAATATTCATGCCTGCAGCTCAAACTGTGGAGTTCCCGCTCGCAGGTTTACGTTGGAATATTTATCCCCGATGCCTTGATCAAAATGTCCAAGATTTAGATGTAGGGCAACTGGAACTTTTTCTTAGATGTTTGAACGTGAAATATGCACGACGTTTACAAAACTTTACAAGCACATCTCGCTCACGAAAGTCCACCATGTTTGTTTTTCACAAACGAGTACTTAGTCTCGCTCGGCCAAATTTCTTAACTGGGGCGATCATAGAAACTCGGTTCCAGGCCTCGCTGCTTGTTCTTTCTTCCCC